ATTTTATTTTTTTTTTTATTTCACTACAATCTTCAAAATAATTTAAACAAGGAACTAAGTCATACGACTCACATTATAGCCTGGAATATCAATAATATCAATATCGCTTAGATCTTCGCCACTTATATCCATCCCAGAACCATTGTCGTTGGTTCCAACCTCCAATTCTTCTATAAATCCACATGAACATCTTGGACAAGTGTAGTCCTATCCAATATTTGAGAGAAAAACTCAAGTTAACAAAACTTGCAGATTATAATTCCAAACAATGCAATCGATTAAAGCTATAGCATATATTGTAAAATCTGAGAATTACATCTAAAAACAAATTATTAATTGTATAAGTATCAAAAACAAAATTGTCTTTGTACTTTAAATAGTTAGTTTGTTATATACAAAGCTTATATAGATGTTTATTTTCCATGAACATAGTTATATACATGTATAATTATTTTCAATGACAAGAAAGAAAGAAAGAGTCTAGATTATAAATACTGATATATGTAGTATTGAACTGATATTGTATGTAGTTTAAAAAGAACTATTCTTATCTATAGTTCATTGATAAAGTTAAAAGTAAACGCACATTATATTTTAAAACTTTATTTATATTTTTTATATTATTTATATTTTTTATATTAATAATAAAAAGACAGTCATTTATCTATATACTTATTTCCATTCATTTTTTCATATCATTTAGTATCTAGGACAAGGAAGGACAACCAAAATAAAATATTAAAACTGTCATTTATTACAACGAAAATATTGTCAGTTTGTGATATTAAAATTATACGTAATATAGAAAATGAGTATATTATTATAGTAAGTATGGACGCACGGACTGATCCGAAAATTTACATAAACGTTTTACGCTGCATGATAATAGGGACCATTAGCGTCGAAAAAAGTATATAACGACCCATAGATTTTTGCGTTTTAATCTGATGTTATACCTGCGTGTTAATAACGTGACTAAACGTACATGTATTTATCTTTGAAGAAGGAAAAGATTTTATTTTTGTGCCAAAGGAAGGCTCTTGAAGATTGTTAATGTATGAGCATCGAAGGAGATGGCATTGTTTCCGATAGAGAGGTCAGGGGATAGGAATTTCACACATGGTTATACTGACAACTTGCAGATTGATGTTGTACTTTCGCTGGCCGTATTTTAAATGCGCATACGAATTACAACGACTACAAGCAACATTAGAGCATACTTACGGGTTGCAAACACTCAATTTCATCGATGCATTTATGGCAATAAAAACGGGACACCGGAGTCCCGTCCACAACGGCTTCAGCCATGTTTTACGTGTCCTTCTCTCTCTTCTTCCCTACTTCCTAAAGTGCGTAGTCTGACTCATATAGCAGAAGTAGATGGCATAAACTACACGTAACTTCGAGATACTACGTTCCTTCGCCGAGGATGGCTGGCGCGTGTGCAGTAGTCGTATGTATTATTATTAGATGGCGTCATTTCGTCTCGATATATTATGCAATAATATATCTTTAAAGATATTTACTCCACGAAAATTGAAAGGTCGTGTTTTGTAATCGATAGGCTAACGTTAGACTTACCCATTATCGTCGTCGTCGTCGTCGTTATACGATTACGACGACATCATTTTTCATTGTTCTTTTACAAGTTCGTCCTTATCAATTGAAGATAATCGTTTCTGACTAAAGATGTACCTATACCGATTGCAACGACTTTAATCGAATACGTTAGCATATCAAATTCTTCTTCTCTAAGGATTATTTCTATTGGTCGATTTAAAATGTAATATTGGTGAAAAGAATCCAATCCAATCAGAACTTGTATAGCTGAATTAATACTGGTTGTCGTTTGTTTTACCTTCTCCTATTTTACAAAGGAACGTCATTGCCGAACGATATTCTTTTTTCTTTTTAATTTTTCTTCTTCTTTTTTCACGTAGATAGATGTTATATACGTGAAAAAATTCTTCATTATATTTTCTTTATAATTAATTGTGATTATAACAATGACGAAAATATCAATAAAGTTTTCTATAATCTCTGTTTGTTGAGAATTCAACAATCTCATTGTAGTACGATCAGTGACGTACTAACGGTTGGTAACGTTATCACGATCATATGATTTTAATAATTTTGTCCTATATCTTATGTTTTTATTTTTTTATTATTTTTTTTTTCTTTCTATTTTATTTACCCACATTCTCCTAATGAATATTTATTGTGAAATAAAATAATTCCTTTTGCCTTATTCCGATATCTTTTGTTTTTAGATTCTTTCTTTTTTTTGTTTTCTTAAGAACGAAACAAAATACAAAGGAGAAACGAATCGTCAAGATATTCCAATAAAGTAATATAGATGGCTCTTGCGTAGGGATTTTGTTTTATCTGTTTTACCTGCACAATTATATTCTACAAATTAAATAAAAATTTAAGATTACAAAGGAAAGCTTATCTATTATTATGACAAGATTTTATAATGAATATTTGTTAACATTTATTACGATTGAAAGTAAAATATAAATAAATATTAAACCGATAAAAGTAATTATAAATAATTATAAATAAATGTTAGATAGAATTCCGTTTGAAAATACATTATACAGTTATCTCTTTGTGATAAAATCGTGGATTTGTTGATAAGTATATATCTCTCATATTTTATTTATAATATTTTACCGTCGTTTATATTATTAGAAATATTTTCTTTAAATTAGAAATGAATCTAATTTTCATAATTCATTGAAAAATTTTAGTATATATTAATACAAAGATATTATCAAATAACATAATATTTCTAGTTTCACCTTGCATTAAGATTTGTTCTGTTGTTACAAGTGACAATGTAAATATTGTATTATTTAGAGATCAACGAGCGGTTTTGTATCATGTTTCAGTGATAAAAATTGAAAAAAAAAGATAGCAAACAAAAATAAACATGTACGTATATCTAAACAATATCGAAACGCAGCCATTACAGAGAAACATACGATTTTTGCAAAAATGAATTTAGAAAATGTTATATAATAAATGCACATAATAACATTATCAGCGCATTAAAAAATATGAACATATACAAATACATATGTTTTTCTAAGAGTATACATTAATTAATTAAAGAACATAAATTATGTCGGTATTTATTTAGTCTTATAAAACTTAATTTTATTTCATTTAATTTTATTTTTTGCATTAGAAATATAACGATATTAATAAAATAATATAACGAGCAAAATATTTTATTTATTTTTACAATCAATAATATTAAAAATTTATTTTGCGTGTAAATTTTTCGAAAATGTAATTTTTCAAAAAACAACTATTATTTTTATCCAATCTACGTGAAATTTGTTATAAATTGAGTGATTTGTTATAATTGAAGTTTTGATAAAAAAATGTGTAAGGAAACATATTCATAATGATATCAATACAAACAAATTTATTTTTTCTTTTGGCACTACGACAAAAAAAAATTGAAAAACGCTACTCTGCATTATAATTGTTGTCGTTTGATAAACAGCAACTTCAAGAATAAAATGTTATCTGTTTGAGCGAACTTCATATTACGGTTTTTGGATCTCAAAGATATGGAAAGTATAAAAAAAAAAAGAGACATGGTAAGACGCTTACTTTATCGATATATTTTTAAACGGACATCTACGTATGTTCTTGGAATAGTCGTAACAAGTATTTTCTTTGAACGAACCTACGATTATCTCTGCGAATCCATTTTTGAGTGGATAAATGATGGAGTAAGTGATATAGATTATATATAATTTTTTTTTTTTTTTTTTTTTTTGTCGAAGGACATCAATGATGTATTATCAATAATATGTATTAAAAAAGCATTTATAGTGATTAAATAATATATATTGAGGATAGATTTTATAATTATGTTTTTCAATAATTCAATAATATTTCTTTAAATAAATAAAATAACTAACTCTAATTATAAATTCTGGAGTTATAAATAGTTAATGTCCAAATAGTTTTTTTTTTTAGTCACTGTACGCAAAGAATCAAATAATGAGGGGGAATAAATTTTTTCAGAGATTATGGATGCACATAAAACATCAATATGAAAATCCTTCGTTGGTTGAAAATGTGGAAAATAAAAAATTGTCACCTGGTTTGCAGGACGATTTAAAAAAAGAAGTTTCCGTCGAAAAAAAGATCGACTGAGTTTAATAAGCAATTTCTGTGCTGTTTTTTTTTTCAATATAAGTACTTCGTTTAGTAATATTTAGTAGTATAAGTACTTCCGCAATATAAGTATTTTCGTATAGGAATTTTCTATTTACATAAAAAAAGCAAATTCATTTGATTTTGAATAGTGAGTTATAATTGTAATCATAAATAGAATAATAATCGATTGTCTTTGTTTTAATTTTAAATAATTACAGTTAAAATATTATTAAAATATGGTGCTAAGAGAGATATGCTAGATTTGTAGAATATTATTATTTATATAATACATTTGTTTTTACAAATATATCAGAATTGCTTCTTATTGCTTTTATTATATCACATATAAATAAATCATTGTAAATGTTTACTTATTTTAGATACTAATTTAGAGCAAAGTTAATAAAAAAAATGTGCCAATGTGTTTAAGTAAATTTAATATCGTATTATTTCATGAGATCTACACAGTGAAGATTGATTAAAGGGGGAAGAAAAATTTCTTTACGCATAGAAATATATACAATATTATCGTTATATTACTAAGAAAACATTAAAATCCGGTTAAAATGTAGTACGGATAGAAATAAGTAAATTGTAGTAGCAAAAGAGTGATGGTTTCTTAGCAATATTTTAATTAAAATATATCTTAATACTTTTTTTTTTTTTCTTTTTTTATAGAGAATGTCAAGCGTCAAGGACCAATAAAATCGAACATATACAAACAATTTAAAAAGACATAGTTAACTTTCATATATTTTTACATTTCTCCTCGAGAAAATTATTATTGCCATATTATGAGCCTTTGCGTACCGTAAAAGTTTTTCCATATCTCTAAGAAACACAGAGATAATAAAAGCGATAAAAGTTATTGTCCCACTCTGTATTATTGCACTATCTAACTTTTGATTCACTATCAGACGTTAAAATTGTGTCAATCAAGAAGGTGGAAATTGAATTTTATGCAAAGTTTAAAGTTTTTAGAGTCATCTAAGATTATATATATTAGTTATTCAACAAAATTATATAGGTATACAAAATTGTATAGGTAATTATATAGGTATAATATATCTAAGGAATACATAAGTAAATAAATTGAATTAATAATATGGATAATTATTAAACTTAAATATTTATAAGAGGACCTTGGTAACCATATTGTTAGTGAACGTATTTTGGAATTATTTAATATTTCTCATAAGTAAATACAATGACATCACAGATATGTTCATACATTAATTCGAATTAAATAATTTTTTTGTATAATGAATGATGAATTCTAGAATTTTTGATAGGTACGAAAAAATTTAATTTGCTATATGAAGCATGTTCAAAACTTAACATCAAAATGTTCTAAGTATGGTGGAAAAAGTGATCTTATAATGTGTATTCAAGCTTTTTTTTAATTTTCGAATAGTATTGTCGGAATGAAAAGTAGCATTTTTTCAAAACCTATGCATTTAATGTTCCAGGATACGAATATCATGAAAAAGCAAACAGTACGTGTCTCATATTCTATTTTAATTTATCTAACGATATTCGCAATAGGATCGTTGGAGATAAGTTATGCCAACCGATTAGTTTCGGATAGCAATGAAATATATAAGAGAGACTTAAGACAGAAGAAAGAATTATCATTGCATATAAATACGACGGAGGATTCAGATATGGAGGAGTATATCTTGGAAATAGATTGCGAGAGATTCAATGTATCGTTCAATTTTTCAAGTACAATTATAAAAGTATTAGGAAAAGACTTCCTTAATACTTCGTTCATAACATGTTTGAACTTTGATGGAAATCAAATAGAATCGGTTGAATCTGGTGCTTTTGATAATCTACCATCTCTAGAATATTTAAATATGGGAAGAAACTACATTTCCTCTTTATTTTCCTTTAACGGTCATGATAATATAAAAGTGTTGGTACTGGCAGGTCAATCGATATCTTATTATGATATAAACTTGGAAATTATGGGAGAATATCCCGAACTTCGTTATTTAGATTTAAGTAGTAATAAAATATCATCGATCAGATGGCCCGTAAGTCATCAGAACTCGTATAATCAGTTTAATCGAAAATCAGCATTTCCTAAATTAAAGCATTTAGATTTATCTAATAATAATCTTTATCAATTTTACAATTACTATGATAATTCTATACTATTCAACCAAAACATAACGCATCTCAATCTGAGTAATAATTATTTGACAAACGTCGATCTACGTTATTTTTCGAATTTAATTGAATTAAGATTAGATAATAATAACATAGAAGGTATCAATAAATATTGTTATAATATATATGTATGTATAGATGAAATGCCAAGATTGAAATATTTTTCTATATCCAATAACAAAATAAACAGTTTAGATCAGTTTATTTTTAAGAATACACCTGAATTAGTTACTTTGAATCTTTCGAATAACCAATTAGCACATATTTTACCAAAAGTCTTCTATGGCTTAGATTTATTAGAAAACCTATATTTAGATCATAACGAATTATCTTCAATTAATAGTTTAAGTCGTTTGTCAAACTTATCCGTTTTATATGTCTCTCATAATAATATCCGGGAAATAGGCTCTGAAGATATAAGCAACGCACGGATTTTAAAAAAATTGTATTTAGATCATAATAAAATTGAAAATATTCATAAAAATACATTTTCTGAATTGGAATCATTAGAGGAACTATATTTAGAAAGTAATAATTTAGCTAAATTACCGGTCGGATGGGCTAATAATTTAAGAAATCTACGTTATCTCAATTTGTCGAATAACAAATTTATATTATTGGAATCTTTATCGCTAATCGAATCTCTGCCAGTAATAAGGATAGACTTAATGAACAATAACTTCATTCATATGAAACCTGAAAAATTGCGAAATTTACCTGAAAATGCGACCATATATTTGATTTCACTGTCGGAAGACAATGAATTATCTAAAGAGGATTTATAAATAACTAAAATATAAAATAGTTTATATTTCTTCGAGTTCATGTATTTATATATATATGTTTATGTCTTTTGGGTATAAGATATAATTTGATAAATATAATAAAAATAATTATAGTCTTATTGTATTACGACATGAGATAAATAAAACAACAATACGTTCATACGAATTAGCTTTTGAATTAATTTACAAGAACTCTTGAATGTTACTACATTTTTTCATTGTATTAAAATATTATTTCGTATTGATACAAAAGGAGCAATATAACTGATTAGAAATTGCTTTTTATTCACAGATTGTATTCATAATGTGGCAATCAAGTACGTTTATTACCCATATGGCTATTATTAGCATGGGTTTCATTCACGGTGTATTTGCTACGACGATATCAATTTATTCGAAGAACTTCGAAGAAGATCTTAGTCTTCACTTCGAAGAACCTATGGACAAGTGCGATAATTCGGATTATGAAATCGTAAAACTTGTTAAAATGGGAATAAACGTTTTAAGGGAAAACTTCATCGAAAGCGCGAACGTGCGATCTATCAATCTCGAAGACAACTCTATCATTGATATCTCTCCGGATGCTTTCAAAGCTATTCCAAATTTGATCTGTCTCAATCTTGGACAGAACGCTGCAAAGAATATATTCAACAAATTTTTAAATTATTTTTACCATCCTTCATTAGTGAAACTAAACTTACATCGAGCTTCTGCAAAAACAGTTGCGTACGATTATGAAAATCTACGTTCATATCCTGACACTGCAATACCGTTAAAAAGTTTCCTACCTCATGTCACGCATTTGGATATTAGCGGAAATAATTTAGAATATTTACCTCAGTATTTTAAATCTTCATTTCCCAGTTTAACGCATCTTTACTTGTCGGGTAATAGATTGACAAATTTGGACAATATTCCTCCGTCAACACAAGTTATATATCTTGAAAGAAATGATTATAATATTAAACCGTTGTATTTTCCAAAAAATATTTCTGCTTTATTTCTTAATGATAATACTATAACAAGTTATATTAGAGACTTTGATAACCTTAATGTATTGTCTATTCGTAATTGCAAGAGCTATTATTCAGGGACTTGCGGAGTTGAAAAATGTAAAAATCTTGTTGATTTGGATATGTCATCAAACAAAATTAAATACATTTATAAAGATGATTTTGAAACATTGAAATCTTTGCAACGTCTTTCTTTAGATCATAATACTCTTTCAATCTTATCTTTTTTAACCCATTTGTCTTCTCTCACAGATCTGTCCATAGCATATAATAATCTAACCAATATCACGTCGGATAACATCGCGCGTCTTGGACGTTTGAAAACACTAAATTTGCGTGGAAATCGTATTTCGATAATTTCGGAAAATGCTTTCTTGAATTTGAATATGTTAAAAAAACTTGATCTTGCGGAAAATAAACTAACTACTCTTCCTGCTACATGGATGAATACTTTGACAAAACTGCGCTATCTTAATTTACAATCGAATTTCTTTACTAGCATCGAAAACATGTCGATATATAGTTATTCAAATTTAAATCACTTATTTGTGCGCAACAACAGTTTTATACAGATAAAAATGAAGAGTTTAGAGAGATTACCTTCATCTGTTGTCATTCATGTAACATAGATTTATAATTTTACGTATATAACATAAATGGTTTTTAGTATTTTTAAAATTATTAATTATTATGAATAGCATAATATATATTTTTGTCATCATTTATAATATAGTATGTTTAATGAAATATTATCAATTGCGAACAATTTGTATTGTGTTCGTTAATCTTATTTTTATCAATTTAATTATTAATTCGATCGATTAATTAACTTTATTTTTAATAATATCAGGAATAAAGTAAAATAGATGTGATTGTTTTATTCGTAGATCTGAAAACCTATATAAATTATCAACGAACACTGATTATAATGACAACATTACGTGGAGTCGATGAGAGTTCACTTATTGAAATCGCAAAATGAGAATGTTATAGAGATACAAATATTCAATTTCATCATTTATTTGCACGAGATTGTAGTGATGTATTGAAACAGAAAAATAAAGACAAAAATATTAATATCAGTGTTTTAATAAGAAAGAATCGAAAATATTGGAAATATGTTTGACATAAAAATATAGTTATTTTAAATATTCCTTGATGATTCTACAATGAGAATTCTACCCTAAGATAGTGAACAATCAATTCGAATTCGTAATTGTATGAAATATTCATTAAATAATAGTTAGTTATGATGTTAAAATAAATACAATTATAAATTATCCATTTGAAGAGAATGTTTTTTTTTTTTTTTTTTTTTACTTACTTTTACTAATTCATTTCTCAGGACGATTAACGTCGCTGACGGAAATAAGAATTAATTATTAAATAATTTATATTCGTCTTTCTTATCGCGGCCGTACGAGCACTGTCCCTATCAATCCTGTTCAGCAGACAATGCAAAATAAGTCTTAAACGAATATTAAATATTCTATTTTTCTAATACGATGGTTTATCCTATTCTTCTAATACGAACAAAGGGAGTCGCCATTCTTATTCCTTAAACATTAACGGCAATCTGATTATCTGTCATCTTTCAATATCTCTTGAATTCTTCCTTTTTGTTAATGTTAAAATGACAACGATTATTAAAATTTATCACAATTGAAGTTTCCCACTGAAATGAGTTTGTTTTAACGTTGTATAATCATCTCTATAACGTTTAATTATAAATCTATTTTCTTAAAACAATTATGTAGACTTGATCATTAGAAATTATTATTATTTAATTATTAATATTGACAAAGTACACTGCAGTTCTATCGATAACGACATCAACTATAAAATTCCTTTCTAATGATACGTAAAATTGGAATTAATTTATTTCAACGTTGGATTAATTTGTATGTGACATTTTCTGCAGATTGAACATTCGAAAGACTGTGCTGCTTAGTAGGCAACTCCTTATGATGGTCTCTTTTAAATGATGAATACTATTTTTAATAATAGCATATCTAACACAAAACACAAGAGCACAAGATTGATTATTTTCCGGATAGACGTATCCGGAATTGTATATTTCATATATGTATGAATACTCTCTATACACACATTTGATCATTATCTAGTACTAATATGAACTTACAGCTTTTAAAATTATTAAAATTCGTCGAGCTAAAATAACACACAGTTCTGAATACGTCAGTTTTATACATATATTTTCTCTTTCTGTATAGATAAGTTTGTTTCTTTTCAATAACATAGAACAAGACTTGATAGAGACAAGGATAGTTTCATAACCTTTGATATAGAAATAAACATTAGTGTGTATGCTTTCAGGAAATTCTCCAAAACAAGTGTAAGATTAAGAACAGCCGAGCGTTCGAATACATTGAAGGAAAGAGATATTAATTTTTATTACAGCATTTTGGTGAATTCTACGAAAAAATTGATTAATTTTGTTTTAGTTACGTATTTTATTACATAACATTTTTAGTCTAATTTTATAACGATTAATTTATTGAAAGTTCATTATTACATAGAATGGTATAAGAATTTGTATTCTTTTTAGGTTATTTGTCATGGAGTTTTCTGTTGCCGTTATTGATTTATTTTAGAAAATTTTATTAGATTTTTATTATAAATTGAATCTTCGTATACAGTTATTTCCAAGTGACGAGATCTGGACAATTGATATTAGTTGAGTTTGCATCTTAAGATACTAAGGAAATACTATTGAGCATATGGCTGTATATTTTGGTACATTTAAAAAATAACGAATTCAATTAATTATTTAAGTTTTTATAATTTTTTAAATTCAATTTATAAGATATTCATTTTGATTAATACTTTTGTATAATATTTTTACATGTATTACCTTCAGAAATGATTTATATAAAATGTTTTATATTTTCTTGTTCTCTAATTTGTAATATGTTTCAGCTGTTCTGTTCTTATAAGTTATTAGAGACTATATTAATGGATTTTTTTCATGATACTATAGAATATATAGGTATAGAATGGAAGAATCAACAAATCATTTAGATAAGTAAGCTTTTTTTTAAACGTTTCCTTAACAATTTTAACAATTATTTATTATAACAATGAAAGTAATAATGTTTTTTTTTTTTTTAGATTTAAATCATCGTTACAATTGTTGCATAGATATCATATGTAGTTTGTTCCTTATATTAATAATACCCACAGACACACAAATAGATGTGTACTTTACATTATACAATGTATCTTTTCTCAGACTAATGTATGACGTTCTGTGAATTAGAAAATTTATTCTTTTGAATATCTTCTATTGAATTAAAATGATACTTTGAAGGATTATACTAAACTTAAAGAGTTTAAAAAATAAAAGAATATTAAGGAGCATTGACAAGTATATAAAAAATTATGAATTAAGTTAAAATAGAATAATATTTTAAGATAAGTTTATTCGTTTAATTTAATTGATATTATAAATATTATAATTTTGATGTTACTATTCCTTGTCTAGTTTCAATTTAATACTATATCTATTTTGACTTATTGCTATTAATCTGCTTTTGTAAATATATCCCCATCACGATTATATCTATTTTGAAACAATAGATATAATGGGATTTTAGTTAGTTTTCTTCATTTATCTTAATATACTTACAAAATTCTAATTACTTAATGTAATTACAAATTTTACAATTACATCTTTTAAACATTTTCTGTTTTATTTTTATTATTAATGTATGTACAGAAGATATATTGTACATATTTACAAATTGAGATCAAATGATTTGAATAAATCGATTTTTAAAATAATATATAAATTGCAGAAACAAACGCTACTGCTTATTTTAATCATTTTTATAGATTTTCAGTCGTTAATGATAATTTACATGTAGAAAGGATAAGCGATTAATTTTTTGGATTTGAATTTTAAATATAATTTAAATTGTAAAATAAATAAGTTCATTGATTACATTTGTATACATTGATCCAATAAAGAAAGAAAATGATGAATCGTACAGCTACAAAATCCATGATACTTCATTTACAATTTTATAGTATATTCAATCAGACCATCTTTTTCAAAAGATGTAAGCAAAACAGTCACGAGCTAAACCTATGAAAGAAACACGAGACTTCAACTATTAATTTGGCGAAAAATATTCAATTATTGTATGTGGGATAATATTTCTATAGTTTATTCTTAGGATTTCTTTGACTTCTTGTACGAAAAATAATAAGGGTCTCTGAATTTTGTCAGTACGCTCCTGATCTGATCACGTGTATTAGGAATGATTCATAAAAAAGGAATGAATCACGTCGTGTTCTATCTCGAACTCAGATATTAACATCCTTTCAAAACTGAAAGGTCTACCGACAGAAGAAGTTGAATTTTTCGTAAAATTTAAATTCTTCCAAAGTCATTTAAATCACTTGTGCGATCTGTTCATCAGAATTATATAGGTAAATATATCTAAGGAATACATAAGTAAATAAATTGAATTAATAATATGGATAATTATTAAACTTAAATATTTATAAGAGGACCTTGGTAACCATATTGTTAGTGAACGTATTTTGGAATTATTTAATATTTCTCATAAGTAAATACAATGACATCACAGATATGTTCATACATTAATTCGAATTAAATAATTTTTTTGTATAATGAATGATGAATTCTAGAATTTTTGATAGGTACGAAAAAATTTAATTTGCTATATGAAGCATGTTCAAAACTTAACATCAAAATGTTCTAAGTATGGTGGAAAAAGTGATCTTATAATGTGTATTCAAGCTTTTTTTTAATTTTCGAATAGTATTGTCGGAATGAAAAGTAGCATTTTTTCAAAACCTATGCATTTAATGTTCCAGGATACGAATATCATGAAAAAGCAAACAGTACGTGTCTCATATTCTATTTTAATTTATCTAACGATATTCGCAATAGGATCGTTGGAGATAAGTTATGCCAACCGATTAGTTTCGGATAGCAATGAAATATATAAGAGAGACTTAAGACAGAAGAAAGAATTATCATTGCATATAAATACGACGGAGGATTCAGATATGGAGGAGTATATCTTGGAAATAGATTGCGAGAGATTCAATGTATCGTTCAATTTTTCAAGTACAATTATAAAAGTATTAGGAAAAGACTTCCTTAATACTTCGTTCATAACATGTTTGAACTTTGATGGAAATCAAATAGAATCGGTTGAATCTGGTGCTTTTGATAATCTACCATCTCTAGAATATTTAAATATGGGAAGAAACTACATTTCCTCTTTATTTTCCTTTAACGGTCATGATAATATAAAAGTGTTGGTACTGGCAGGTCAATCGATATCTTATTATGATATAAACTTGGAAATTATGGGAGAATATCCCGAACTTCGTTATTTAGATTTAAGTAGTAATAAAATATCATCGATCAGATGGCCCGTAAGTCATCAGAACTCGTATAATCAGTTTAATCGAAAATCAGCATTTCCTAAATTAAAGCATTTAGATTTATCTAATAATAATCTTTATCAATTTTACAATTACTATGATAATTCTATACTATTCAACCAAAACATAACGCATCTCAATCTGAGTAATAATTATTTGACAAACGTCGATCTACGTTATTTTTCGAATTTAATTGAATTAAGATTAGATAATAATAACATAGAAGGTATCAATAAATATTGTTATAATATATATGTATGTATAGATGAAATGCCAAGATTGAAATATTTTTCTATATCCAATAACAAAATAAACAGTTTAGATCAGTTTATTTTTAAGAATACACCTGAATTAGTTACTTTGAATCTTTCGAATAACCAATTAGCACATATTTTACCAAAAGTCTTCTATGGCTTAGATTTATTAGAAAACCTATATTTAGATCATAACGAATTATCTTCAATTAATAGTTTAAGTCGTTTGTCAAACTTATCCGTTTTATTTGTCTCTCATAATAATATCCGGGAAATAGGCTCTGAAGATATAAGCAACGCACGGATTTTAAAAAAATTGTATTTAGATCATAATAAAATTGAAAATATTCATAAAAATACATTTTCTGAATTGGAATCATTAGAGGAACTATATTTAGAAAGTAATAATTTAGCTAAATTACCGGTCGGATGGGCTAATAATTTAAGAAATCTACGTTATCTCAATTTGTCGAATAACAAATTTATATTATTGGAATCTTTATCGCTAATCGAATCTCTGCCAGTAATAAGGATAGACTTAATGAACAATAACTTCATTCATATGAAACCTGAAAAATTGCGAAATTTACCTGAAAATGCGACCATATATTTGATTTCACTGTCGGAAGACAATGAATTATCTAAAGAGGATTTATAAATAACTAAAATATAAAATAGTTTATATTTCTTCGAGTTCATGTATTTATATATATATGTTTATGTCTTTTGGGTATAAGATATAATTTGATAAATATAATAAAAATAATTATAGTCTTATTGTATTATGACATGAGATAAATAAAACAACAATACGTTCATACGAATTAGCTTTTGAATTAATTTACAAGAACTCTTGAATGTTACTACATTTTTTCATTGTATTAAAATATTATTTCGTATTGATACAAAAGGAGCAATATAACTGATTAGAAACTGCTTTTTATTCACAGATTGTATTCATAATGTGGCAATCATGTACGTTTATTATTTATATGGTTGTTATTATGAGAATCATTCACGGTGTTTTCGCTATAACGATGTCATTTTGTCCGGAAAAATTCGAAGACGATCTTAGTTTGAATTTTGAAGAAACTATGGACAGGTGTGACAATCCAGAACATGGCATCGTGAAGCTTAATAACATTGATCTGAAAGTATGAAACCGTAATTTTATTGAAAGCTTTAACGTTCAATCCATTAATCTGGAAAACAACTCTATCATTGATATCTCTGCGTATGCTTTCGAAGGTATTCCAAATTTGATCTGTCTCAATCTTGGACAGAACGCTGCAAAGAATATATTCAACAAATTTTTAAATTATTTTTACCATCCTTCATTAGTGAAACTAAACTTACATCGAGCTTCTGCAAAAACAGTTGCGTACGATTATGAAAATTTACGTTCATATCCTGACACTGCAATATTGTTTACATGTTTCCTACCTTATGTCACGCATTTGGATATTAGCGGAAATAATTTAGAATATTTACCTCAGTATTTTAAATCTTCATTTCCCAGTTTAACGCATCTTTACTTGTCGGGTAATAGATTGACAAATTTGGACAATATTCCTCCGTCAACACAAGTTATATATCTTGAAAGAAATCAATATAATATTAAACCGTCGTATTTACCAAAAAATATTTCTGCTTTATTTCTTAATGAGAATACTATAACAAGTTATATTAGAAACTTTGATAACCTTAATGTATTGTCTATTCGTAATTGCAGGAGCTATTATTCAGGGACTTGCGGAGTTGAAAATTGTAAAAATCTTGTTGATTTGGATATGTCATCAAACAAAATTAAATCTATTCATGTAGCGTACTTTAAAACATTGAAATCTTTGCAACGTCTTTCTTTAGATCATAATGCTCTTTCATCCTTATCTTTTTTGACCCATTTGTCTTCTCTCAAAAATTTATCTATAGCATATAATAATTTGACCAATATTACGTCGGATTGTTTCGCAAATCTTCAACATTTGAATACACTAAATTTGCGTGGAAATTGTATTTCGATAATTTCGGATAATGCTTTCTTTGGTTTGAAAATGTTAGAAAAACTTGATCTTGCGGAAAATAATCTCACTATACTTCCTCCTTGGTGGTTGATTAACTTGTGTAGACTACGTTATCTTAATCTAAAATCGAATCCGTTTAGGAGCTTCGATAGTATGTTTATATATGATTTACCTAACCTGAATAAGTTAATTTTTGGGAATATTAGTTTTAAACAAATCGAAATAGCGAATTTCGAAAAATTATCAACTGTTATTGTTTATATGTCATGGATGAATAATTCATGTGTAATGTTTATATTGTAATTTTAAAAATGTTTTAGCATAAATGCGACTTACTATCGTACAAATTATATTTTATTAAAAATTGAATTTATGTTTTTGTTAACATTTATAATATTGTGTGCTCAATAAAATATTATAAACAGCCAATAATTTATTATTGCGTTATTTTTGTAATTATATTGTTATTAATTTCGTTATTGATTCGATAGAAATAATATCGATTGTTTAATTTGTTTAATCATTAATTTTACTTGTAGGAAGATTATAGAAAATGTGGAATAGACTCTGATATTGTATATTACATGTATACATAGAAAGTATGGAAAATTATATTTTATTCGCTGGTAACTACAGTATTCTACATTATTTGCTGAAGGTAAACGTTACGAATTATTCGCATAGAGTAACATATGTCTCATGCTCAACGTTTTATCATTCTATCGGTAATATCTAGATGAAGTAAATACTTTTTAAAATTTTCATTACTAATAGATCAATCGACTGTCGGTAAGTTGTACATTTACTTGAAAAATCATTCGATTTAATTAATTTAATTTAATTAATCCTATCTCAATAATATCAGTCTTTTGGAATATTGCATTTGTCGTTATTTAACAAAAATTCATATACCGTTTCAGACTTTTTTTTAAATTCAGCATAGACCATTAAAAGTAAGATGTAATAAATAAGAGATATAGTCAACGTAGATACGGATGCGCGTCGAATATAGACATTTATAATGATACGAATCTATTTTCCTTTTTTTCTCGTTTTCCCGTCTGATGCGACCTAAATTTTGGAGGCTTTGAAAATCGTCGTTAGAGCGAAAAATCTTCGCATGGTGTCAACCGTGCTTGTTGACACGGTCGAGATGTAATTACGTGGTAAATGAAAATGCAGATATTTGACTAGGCGGATAGTATGAATTTTGTTTTTTGTGTGAGTATAGATAAAAAGAGATAGAAATAGAGAGAACAAGACAAAGGCACAGCAATTTCGTAACTTTTCTCGAAAGTGTTAATTTGCAATACTATGTGTAACATGTTCGTTAAACAACGTTGTTGAAATTGTAAAAGTTATCGATGGTGCTGTGGGTTGAGAAAAATGGGTTGCAAACGGTGCTTGGTATTAAGGTTGATTAAAGATTGATATTAAAGTTGATTTTGTGTTTATCGAAGACAATACGTGGTTTTGATAATTACACATATATACATACATATATATATGTATTTATATATATTCCATTTTTTCAAGGAAAATGAAGCTTTTTCAAAAATTCAACGAAGTTAAAGTGGTTTAAATTTTTAAATTGAAACATTGTTCATTGAAATCAGTCAAGAATTGCCTTGGATTCTTTGTTTTCGTAAACCATTATAAAATTGTATAATCAATGGCGGTGAACGTCATTTGTAAAACAATAATTGTATCGAAATATCGAGGATAATTTGAAAATTAGTTGGAATAAAAAAAATGTAATTATTTGTACGTAACATATAGAAGCATTTATTAAAAATATTTAAAAGAGAAATAAAATTGGAACTGAATTGCTTTTTATATGTTTTATATATTTGAACATATGCATATTTAAATATATTGTTTATATTAGATGTTTACACATATTTTAGGTAAATTTTGTTATGATAAACTAATAAATAAGATTTAAAAAAATAAGTGTGATTTATTCAGCAAATTTATGTGCATGGTAATAAGAATACGTTACATATGATCCTTTGCTGACATATACATAATAAAGCTTGATAAGATATTGAAGAAAGATTCCTTTATACGTCAAAATATATATAGTCACTTTAGCGTTCTATGTCGGTTTCAAACGTTGATATCGTGTCAAGTTGAAAGATCTATCGACAGAAGAAGTTGAATTTTACCTAACATTTAAAGTCATTCAACATCATCAAAATCATTTGTGCAATTTGTTTATCAGAATTATATAGGTAAATATATCTAAGAAATTTATAATTAAAAAAATTTAATTGATAATGTGGATAATTATAAAAATATATTAATTGTTCGAAGATCATACTAATCGTAACATCATTGAACTTGTCTTACAATTATTTAATATTTCCAGTAGATAAGGACGTACCTATAAAAGTCACAGAAATATGCATATACTATGTCAAATTAAATTACCTTTTTTTTATATCTAATAAATAACTTTTCATATATAATAAATAAATATTTTTATATATAATAACTTTTATATATAATAATTAAAATTTGTAATAGGCACGAAGAAATTAATGTACTACATTAAGCGTGCTTAAAGCTTTGCAAATTAATTTTTTATGATATAAAAGTGAAAAAATCGAATATTTTTAGAAGATACGATTATACTCATTTATCAAGTCAGGTTTATTTTCTGTGTATCTTGTAACTAGAATTTGTTCAATTTTAAAGCGATATATATTTAACCGAAGATTTTTAAAATTGCGATAAAATGAATTTTACGATAAAAGGCGATATATATAATAGCGATTTTATAAAATTTTAAATAAGCGTAACTTAAACGAGCGTTATATTAATACGAGTGGTGAATGTATATAAGAGAATCAGATTTGCAAAATGTGAATGAATATACATTTTTTAAAAGTTTTATGTATAAAAGAATCTATTTTGTTTAATTCTTCATATAAATGAAATGACAAGGTTGAAATGTTTTAAGATATTCAATAAGAGAATAAACAGCCTAAGTTAGTATATATTTATGAATATTTCTGAATTAATTACTTTTGATCTTTTGAATAACCGATTAGAAGATATCTTATCAGAAGATATCTATGCAGCTCATAACAAGATCCGAAAAATAGGCTCAATTCATAAATTTCCAATGTAATTCCTTTAACATTAAAGGAATTTATCCAATAACAAATTTATATTTTTTCAATCTTTGTCATTAAGTAAATTTCTATCGATAATAGAAAAACATTTAATATACAATCACTTAATTCATACGATAGCTGAAATATTGAGAAATTTATCGATAAATACAATCATATAGTTGATCCTTCGATCACAGAACAGTGAATTATTGAAAAGCAATTTATAGATTACTAATATATGAATTAATTTATATTTCTCCGAGTTTATTTGATTATGTCTTTACGTCTCTTGAGTTAAATTGATTTATGAAATGAGATAAATAAGAAAACAAATTACCGTTCATACGAATTATCTTTTCAATTGATTTCTAATAACACTTGAACGTTATTACATATTTTCCTTGTATTTAATTCCGATTCGACAAAAATGCAGCAATGTGACTGATTAGAAATTGCTATTTATTCACAGATTATATTCATAATGTGGCAATCAAGTATGTTTATTATCCATGTGGCTATTATTAGCATGGGGTTCATTCACGGTGTATTTGCTACGACGATATCGTTTTGCCCAGAAAAATTCGAAGAAGATCTCAGCCTCCACTTTGAAGAACCGATGGATAAGTGCGATAATTCAAAATATGACATCGTAAAATTAAATAACATTGAGTTGAAAATATTGAACAAAAACTTTATTGAAAGCGTTATCGTGCAATCTATTAATCTTGAGAATAATGCTATCATTGATATTCATCCGGATGCTTTCAAAGGTGTTCCAAATTTGCACTGTCTCAATATGCAACAGAATTATCGATTGAATATATTGGACAACTTCCTAAAATATTTTAAACACTCTTCGTTAACAAAATTAAATTTAGCTAAAACAATGTCAAAAAGCTATTCATTCAATCAGTATTCAACAATTTCACCCGATAAAATTACAGAAATATCACCTGAAAATGCCCTTCCTCATGTTACGCATTTGGATATTAGCGGAAATAATATAGAATTTTTACCTGCGTATCTTACATCTTCATTTCCTCGTTTGACGCATCTCTACTTATCCAATAATAAGCTGACCTCCGATTACGTTTATCATATACCTGCGACGACGCAATATTTGTATTTGGAAGGAAACACAGTCTCTATTAATTTGCTAAAACTTCCAAAAAATATTTCTGGCCTATTTTTAAGTGAGAATCAATTAGAACTGCATGACCAATCTTCAGCATATCCTAATTATGATTATGATTATTCAATGCGTTTAAGCTCCTTAAGCGTGCAACCTTCCTATTATGACAGTAATGACGATATAAAAAAGGATATGGAACTTTTATCAAATCTTGTAATATTGTCAGTTCGTAAATGCAAAAATATTAATTTATTAATTTTGAATCTTGACAAATGTAAAAATCTTGTTGATCTGGATATGTCATCAAACAATATTAAATCTATTCATGAAGCGTACTTTAAAACGTTGAAATCTTTACAACGTTTTTCTTTAGATCATAATACTCTTTCATCCTTATCTTTTTTGATCCATTTGTCTTCTCTCAAAAGTTTATCTATAGCATATAATAATTTAACCAATATCACGTCGGATTATTTCGTAAATCTTCGAAATTTGAAAACACTAAATTTGCGTGGAAATCGTATTTCGATAATTTCGAAAAATGCTTTCTTGAGTTTGAATATGTTAGAAAAACTTGATCTTGCGGAAAATAATCTCACTATACTTCCATCTCTATGGTTAAATAACTCGACAGTATTGCGCTATCTTAATCTAAAATCGAATCTGTTTACTAATCTCGATAGCATGTATGGTTTTTCTAATCTTAATCATTTACTTTTGGGAGACAATTGTATTAAACAAATCGAAATGGCGAACTTGAAGGAGTTTCCATCAACTATTGTTATTTATATGTCATCGATAAATGATTCTTGTTTAAAATGTAAAACGTAATTTACTTGTTTACGTGTATAGCGTAAATTAAATACGAATTAATATCTTCAATATAATTAACTATTAGAAATCGCTTAATGTAACATTTATCGTTAACATTTATATTATTGTGTACTCAATAAAATATTATAAATAGAGAATAATTTAGTATCCCATTATTTTCGTAATTATATTGTTATTAATTTCGTTATTGATTCGATCGTTCGATAGAAATAATATCGATTGTTAGATTTGTTTAATCATTAATTTTACTTGTAGGAAGATTATAGAAAATGTGGAATAGACTCTGATATTGTATATTACATGTATACATAGAAAGCATGGAAAATTATATTTTATTCGCCGGTAACTACAGTATTCTACATTACCTGCTGAAGGTAAACGTTACGAATTATTCGCATAGAGTAACATATGTCTCATGCTCAATGTTTTATCATTCTATCGGTAATATCTAGATAAAGTAAATACTTTTTAAAATTTTCATTACTAATAGATCAGTCGACTGTCGGTAAGTTGTACATTTACTTGATAAATCATTCGATTTAATTAATTTAATTTAATTAATCCTATCACAATAATATCAGTCTTTTGGAATATTGCATTTGTCGTTATTTAACAAAAATTCATATACCGTTTCAAACTTTTTTTTAAATTCAGCATAGACCATTAAAAGTAAGATGTAATAAATAAGAGATATAGTCAACGTAGATACGGATGCGCGTCGAATATAGACATTTATAATGATACGATTCTATTTTCCTTTTTTCTCGTTTTCCCGTCTGATGCGACCTAAATTTTGGAGGCTTTGAAAATCGTCGTTAGAGCGAAAAATCTTCGCATGGTGTCAACCGTGCTTGTTGACACGGTTGAGATGTAATTACGTGGTAAATGAAAATGCAGATATTTGACTAGGCGGACAATATGAATTTTATTTTGTGTGCGTAGGGTGAATTACATTCTACACGCACGCGTATGCGTATATAAATAGAAAAAAATAGATAGATAGATAGATAAAGATAGATAGATAGATAGATAGATAGATAGATAGAAAGATAGAGAGAAAGGGAGAGAGAAAGAGAGAGAGAAAAGAAAAAAGATAAAGGCACAACATTTTCGAAACTTTTCCCGAAAGCGTTAGTTTGTAATACTATGTGTAGTGCGTTTGTTAAATAACGTTGGTGGGGTTGTAGGTTACCAGTGGAGCGGTGGGTTAAAAGAAAGGGGTTGTGAACGGTGCTTGGTATTAAGGATGAAGGGAGATTATAGTACGTAAAAACATTTGTTTGCGCTCATCGTTTATTGTCTCGTTCGTTTCTTTTTATGTATAGTGTAATCATACTTCTCTCGTGTTTGCTTTCGTGTCCTTGTGCCTCATTTGATGGAACGGTACTATTACGTCGAAAAATAAACATTATTTTCATTTACGTTTGTCAAAGACATTACGTAGTTTTATTCTTATTTAACGGAGAATCAACAATGCCATGGATTTTACGAAATCATTCGCATTATTTGTAATCAACGTTATTTTTAACTCTATCTTTCATCTCTCTCTTTCTCTCTTTCTCTCTGTCTCTCTGTTATTCTATTATATATCTATTATATAATGATTTATATGCCATAATATTATTTTCATTTGTAGATTTTTTAATTAGTTGGTTATATGTCGTATCATTATTTATTTTTGAAAATAGTTACATATTAGTAATCTATAGAATCATTGATATGTTGTTTCTATTTTCTTTTCTTTCTTTTCATTCATTTCTCTTTCTCTCTCTCTCTCTCTCTCTCTCTCTCTCTCTCTCTCTCTCTCCTCTTCTTTTTTTTCTTTCTCTCTTATTTTTTTTTCCTTAGTATTTCCTGAAGATATTTTGCCTCTTTCGTGTAACGAAAGACGAGTACGAGACGAACTTGGAATACTAAATTATGGTTTTATTCTTCTCGCATATGTATCTTCTTATCGTCAGCATTCATATTGTAGCATCTGTGTACTTTCTTCGATATTCTAATATATTGTATAAAGTATAACATCTAAGAAAGCCTTGAAAGCTATCATAGAAACTAAAAGAAGAAAAACAAATACAACTTTCCATTTATTTAAAAATACTTATTGTTGATAGAATGTATAAATTTATTTGGGATAAAATTTCCCTAGTGATAGTTTTCGGAACATTAAGTATGGTATTCAGTCTTTGCTTATTCTCCCTCTTTTTCTCTCTCTCTCTCTCTCTCTTTCTCTCTCTCTCTCTCTCTCTCTCTTTCTCTCTCTCTCTCTCTCTTTCTCTCTCTCTCTCTCTCTCTTTCTCTCTCTCTCTCTCTCTCTTACTTTCTTATCTGTTGATGTCCTTATAATCAGTAATGCCATTTGGAAATTGATATTTTTATACACTGTCTCTTACAAGTTTATCATTGTATTGTTTTTAAATATAATGTAATTATTTCGCCTTGTTAACAATTTTGAAATAATGATTTTTCAATTATCTCTATTGGTAGAATATAGTGATTACATTATATTTCGTTGATAATCCAGATTAGGAAATAACATATATCATTAGAAGAAAATTTCAATTTTCAAGTTCCTGTATATATGTAACTTTTTTTGATTCGCTTATAGAAACGTATTGTATACCAAAAGTAACTCAAAAAATTCTTTTATCGATATTTAACATTGTTGATATCGTTAATTTTCAATGAAGTATCGAGAGTTGCATGCATTTAAGATGCAATGGGTTAGTACGCTGTAGTGACATAAAATCCAATAATATTATATAATAGATCGACATATAGCTAAATAGATTTTATTATATATCGAGAAAATCAGATGTTTTATCGGATATTTTAATCGGTAAAGGAGAGAAGCGAAAATAGGAAGTAGTAGACGAAGAAGTAAAAAAGAAAATAAAGATCATCACGATGGGCCGATTTGAGTGACAGATTTGTTCATTATCTTGACGCGTTTGCGTTGTGTTAACGTGTGCGTCTGTGTTACGTTTTCAAAGACAGGTGCAAACGTGGCAAACAGTTCCGGCATTTTATACGGTCCCTTCCGGTATGCCGGCTTGAAAAGCGACAGAAAATTGCATACCTCGTTTCACGATGGTGGACAGACACGGCGAACTATTCGCAGTGGTATAGCAGAGCTATTCTCTCTCCAACCCCTTCAGTCCCTTCGTCCCACTCTCACAATCCATCCTCCACCCTCTAACCACCCCCTAACGGTTGCCCGGAGTTACGTTTCATTCATCATTCTAGGGCAGCGCACAGTTTGCGGATTCTGCATTCGTTTCCGGTCCCACCCAGTGGCACTTCATTCTTACGGGTTTGTGCTAGATACTGAAAGAGAAAGAAAGAAAGAGAGAGAGAGAAAGAGAGAAAAAGAGAGAGAGAGACAGAGAGAGAGAGAGAGCGAGAACGAGGAGGGGAGAGGGCAATTCAACTCAGATAGTAGGACATAGCATTAGAAACGTACATTCATGTTCTCTCACCTTTTACCTCTTCGAATTCTTCTGTCTTCTCACTTTTCCCATTCTCTTCATCCTTCATTATTCAACTTTGTCAAGTAGATCATCGGACACGATTATTTCGAGTTAGTTAATTAATAATACTATATACTTATTTATATATTTATGTACATATGTATGTATATGTATTACATTGAACGTTATAATATATGTTTATCATATACTTTGTAATTACTTCGTAATTTGTTAGATTATATAATATATTTATGATATTTAGCATATACATAAGATAATTTATCTCTATGACTAATTGGTTGAAACAAGAGTCTCATGTTTTCTTTTTAATTTAATGCATCGTATTTTTTCTTATCGAAGCTATGAGTTACAATTGATTTTACTCGATCACGTCGGTAGAACGTTTAACAGGTTGCTAAAATGAAATCGTTAATTCTCAGAAACGCTTCGTCGTTTTACGAGCAACCATTTCTCAGTAGCGATACTATTTCGAAGCAATCATTCGTTACGGATTATGCGTCATCGTTAGACAGGCGAGATTATGTATAAAAGATGTTGAATAAATTGCGCAATAAAGAAGGAAAAGAACGTGAAAGTGTAAAACGTGTAAAAATATTGTAAGAAAAGGAACGTTAAGAATTATTGGCGAGGCTTGGTCCTGTTATTTTTCAACGTTGACGAATTGCCCAAAGTATTGGATTACATTGTCGGCCATCTCTCTCTTTTTTCTCTACTTTTAACACCAACATAAGGAGAGCCCTGTGCGCGAGTGAATCAGTTGAACGCAAACTGCTTTTCTACGGAATTTAAAGGTAGTTCTGGTCGTTGTCTCGGGGGAAAATTAAATGTCGATTGGAAATTCGTCGGTGTGCATCGACGATCGAGCGATCGAGAGACGGAGATAGAGAGAGAGAGACGAAGAGACAGAGAAAGAGAGAGAGAGAAAGAGAGAGAGAGAGAGAGAGAGAGAAGGATAGGTGATTGAATGGCTCGGCTTGTTCTCGTTCACCATCTTGAATTACAGGTGTCTGGAAGCGGCAGGTCCATTCTATCATTGCGATGAAGTACTCCACCGGTGTGGGACTCTTCTCTTGTCCCCTTCTCGATTCAACCCCCATCACCACAACTACTACCTAAACTACTCCCTTCTCTTTTTCTCTCTCTCTCTCTCTCTCTCTCTCTCTTTCTCTTTCTCTCTCGAATTCAACTTATCGTCGTGCACTTAATTAATCACACGGTATCACCGAGTCCTGTGCAAAATCCTGTCGCGGTTTCCGCCCTTTTTATACTCGCCATAGGACACCAGGAATGAGATCGCATGCGACACCAGTGTTAAATTCCCACGTGAACCCGCTCGAAGTGTATTTACGTTATACCACCCTCTAGTGTTACACACTTTTTTCCTTTCCTTTCCTCACCGATCGCAATAAATTATTTCTATCGTAGCCTCTGTCTAATGTCTCGTAGCAGCCTGTGCGTGTCTCCTGCCTTGTACTCTTTTTCTTTATTTTCTTTCTTTTTTTTTTCGCTTACCTTTCCTTTTTTTTCTTTTTTTTTTCTTTTTTTATCTTTCTTCCCTCTCCCCTCCCCGTCCCCGTCCCTTATCGTTCCTCGATAC